GGTGTTGGAGGTCATGATGGTAGCCCATTTCATCCCCTCGACCTCCAACTCGAAAGTAGGTGGGTGCGAGTGGCCATCATAATTTCCGTAGTAAAAGGACGCTCTAATCAAATATGTAACTTCTCCAAGAGAAGTAGATGAAGCCTCTGCGGGCAGTGTATAACAGTTCCTCTTATGCTTTGGGAAGACTCGAAGTGTGTCGAGTTGAGTCGAATTGGGAAAGCTGTGAAGTTGGATGTCTTTGTTGTCGCCTGTTTCGGTGTATCCATTATCGGCATCCCAATAATGATCAGATTCATCGTGGTAGCTAGTTTGTGATCCGCAATCTATGTATACATCTGTCGCCACGAAATCAGAGACAAAAGGCAACAGTTGAGAAGATGCTACAGAAGCCGAATGGGAAATGCATTTCTCTTGCATCAGATATCTATTAAATGCTCAAGACATCTTTCACAGATGACCAAATGACTCGAACAGAAAAGCAAAGACCTCTCCTGTTATGCATTCTCTATTTTGAAAGTTCCATTCCGCGAGTATATGTTCGAAAAATTGTAAAATCGCTCATGATAATTCTGCAAATGAAGCATATATAAACTCCACGCGGGATGAGAACAATGATGGATCACGGGCTGTTACCGGATTGAGAAAGAGCTTTTCCAAGGATGATCAGAACAGCCGTCCACAACAAGAACAGTGACCCCATTGAGAAAGAAGTCTGTAAATCTGTATTGCCTATCCTAACTTAAATAAGAGCAACCTTCAATAAATAATAATTGTAACTGGGCCTTGCAATCTTTGGTGATTACAATAAATTGTAGCTGTTTAAGTTTGTCTCTTCCAAGCTTAAGAACTCCCTTTCGATTCCTTACTGTATTATATAAGTCGGCCATTCAGTGAAGAGCGAGCCCTCGAGGGTGCCAATCTCGATGAAATCCAACTTTAGAACAAGAAAAAAGGAATTTTCTTTAAAAAACATTTCATTGTGCATTTTTTTATTAATTAAACCAGGTCCTGGCAATGGCATTTAATGTTATTTCACATTTAGCAGGGAAAATTACTATTTCCTCCTAGAGGATCGCGCAATATATTCATGCCAACTATATAGGAGATGTTTGCATATGCATGCATTTAAGACAACAATTTCTTACCCAGGGTCCAATCGTATGCACTTGTTGAGTAACTATAGCAGTAGCTTGTGAGCTAAGTAACAATCCTTGAATCGACAAAATCATATATGCCGCTGCTATCAGAACTTATCGGTGACATCCTTGAATTAACTCACTTGAGATACTGTCAACTTTTATCCGTCCCATACCAAATCTCATGGTTTTGTCCTTTGGCGTATGAACAGATACTTTCCCAAGAGATCACCTATCCCGATAATACTCTAGCATAAATATGCTTAACTTTGGAGTTCCAAAGCAAAGTTTGCCTTACGTCACAAGGTGCCTCAACGAGTTAATTCCATATATATATAATCTAGGCATGTTTTCAGTTTGTTCAGTGTGCAACTCGGTTCATTCCTACTCTTTTCGCCATTCTAAATGCCTTCTGAGAGATGCTCCTTATTTGAGCCCTATAGCCTCAACGACCACTCCCTACCTAAATAGCACCGACATGCTTGAGAGGTGTCCAAGTCGGTGTCGGACACGCTTCGACAAGCTCGGACACGCGGTCAACGCACCAGACACGCCAGCGACACGCGTGTTCGGCGCCGAGGGTCGTGGGTCACGGAGGAGTTAGAGGAGTTGCAGGAAGGAGACGAGGACGGAGGCGGGGCCAACGAGCGGGGCCTCTTCGACGAGGCGGAGGCCGACGCCGCCGCCGCCGACTTGCGGGAGCCGCCGCCGACGTTGACGTTGCGGAGGGTGCCGACCTGGGTCCAGTAGTGGCGGCGGGACTTACAGAAGTGGCGGGGCTAGGAGAGGTTGTAGTTGTTGTAGCAGCAGAACTTGGTGTTGGTGGAGTTACAGCACGGGCAGGGCAGCGCCTCCGCTTGCGGCGGCGGAGGCGGATGGTGCAGGCTGGCTCCTCCGGTCCTCCCCCCGCGGTGGCGGCGGAGACCTGAGGTCGGGCCGGCCTACGCTCGCTCGTGTCCGAAGGCATGTCTTCTCCTTTGCGGGCTTTGAGGAGCGTGCAGAGAAAGAGTGTTAAAAGCGAAGGCTTTGGAGGAGGGAGAGAGAGAGAGAGAATGGGGTGGAGACGTGAAGGAGAAGCCTAGAAGGCAGCATTTGTACTTTCCTTTTTTTTCAATTTTGATTATTTATTTTTAGTTTCTTAACTAATATATTTATTTATACATAATTATTTTTTAAAAACTTATGTGTATAATTTTTTTAGGGTAAATTCATTCTAGGATTTTTATTATTATTTATTTACTTATTTGAATCAAATTTAAAAATAATAATTTATTATTTATATATAAAAATATTTATTTAATATACAACGTGTCCTAACGTGTCGGAATTCTCAATTTTTTGAGAAATAACGTGTCACGTGTCATGTCGTGTCGTGTCGCGTGTTGGTGCTACTTAGCTCCCTGCTCTTATCGGACCGGGGCGTTACAAGCCCACTGGCTTCTATGTGATCTATCCTCAAACCACACACCTATTGGAAGGGGTTTTGCTCTAATACCATATTGTGACATTCTTAGATTAACTCACTTGAGGGATTGTCCACTTTGTCTCGTCCCATACCGAGCCCCACGATTTTATTTTTTACGTATAGGCAAGCACTTTTTCAGGAGGTCACTCATCCCGTTACGTCAAAAGGTGCATCCGTGAATTAATTCCATTTTCACATATATATTATGGGCATGCTCTCATCTTGTTCAATGTGCAATTCAGTTCATTTATGCCCCATTCGCCATATTAGAAATTTGCCAGGAGATGTTTCTTTTCCAAGCCCTCTAGCCCCGACAAACATTCCCCGCCCTTGTTGGACCGGATCGTTACAAGCCTACTAGCTTCCGTGTGGTTCGTCCCCGAACTTGGCACCTACTGGAGGGGTCTGGTTCTAATATCATATTGTGATATCCCTCGATTAACTCATTCAGGGTATTGTCTGTTTTGGCTCGTCCCATACCGACTCACAATTCTATCCTTTTGTGTATAAGTAGGCACTTTTCCAGGAAGTCACATATCCCGGTAGTGCTCTAGCCTCAACACGCTCACTTTAAAGTTCCAAAGTAAACTTGCCATTACGTCAAAAGTTAAGGTAAAAACTGGAATTAACTCATGGAGGCTCATTTTGACGTAATGACAATTCTTAGCTCTGGAACTTCAAAGTTAAGCGTACTCAGGTTGAAGCACTACTAGGATGGGTGACCTCCCGGGCAAGTGCCCACTTGTATACCAAAGAACAAAATCGTGAGGCTCGGTATGAGATGGGCTAAAGCGGATAATAATTCAGTAAGTTTATCTAGGGCATTACAATTCCAACACTTAAAGGAGCTCTAAAATAACAGTCTAGAAACTTTAAGGACAAGCATATGCTGATGAACCAGATATGAATGCATAGCACCCTGGAACAACACAGAATTATATCATCATTACCAAATTTGGACAAAGCTTTCCCAATGATAATTAGGACCATCCACAAGAACAGCAAATGTGCCTTCATTGAGAAATCTCTCCCTGTGATCGGCGAGGACAACCTTAATTATTAGTGTTGCGGTAGCAAGCGATCGAACTATAAAATTGACAGAACAAGAAAATAAATCAAACACCAGATTTACATGGTTCGATCGTAGTGACTTGCATCCACGAGGAAAGCAGCAACAAAAAATCCATTATAGATTAAGCAATACAATGGAGATTATAACCACACGAATTACTCAAATACTATAAGTGTTTCCCAACCCCCAATACACCCAATAACTCATACAATGTTCAGCTTACAATTTCCCATAAAATAATCTTTTAATCTTACGAAGGAATTATACACAAATTCTTACCACAAGAGTTTAATTGACTTCAACACTAAAAAACTCTTAGAGTGTAATTCACAAGTAGAAGTTCCTCTTTGATGCCCTTCACAAATAGCATTCCCTTCTTATATATGGGCAAGAGTTTGATCCAAAACAGAAACCTCTTTTTAGGAAACTTTCTCTAATTAATAAATCTTTTCCAATTAGGAAAATATTCAATTAGGAATCTTGTTCAAAATAGAAAACCTACATGAATTAGGAAACTTTCCTTTTTGTGGTCAAAATGTTGGATCTTTAGAGCTTTGTCTCTTCCAACTTCTAAGGATTCCCTTTTGTCTTTCGATCGTCTAAATCGGCCCCCCTTTTTAAGGACACTGGAAATACCTGAACTTTTGTCCTTAAATTGACCTTCAGTTGACTTGTTGACATGTTTGATTGGAAAATTTGATACTTAATTGTAAAACGGATAATATTTCAGGTACTTGCGAACTTTTTTTTTGTTTATAAAGTAGATTGTTTAGACATTTAGCCGGTGCGCCAAGGTTGGATGCAATCACATGGTGTAAGTTGAAGAATCATACGGCAAGCTAGCTAGATAACTACATCTTGTAATTTGGTATTGATTGAAACCAACTAGATACATACATTTCTTCTTCTTCTTTCCCCCTCATTGTAGATTTTCCTCTTAATTTACAAACTTATATTTCTCTGCATAGAGTTGAGACCTAGACTGCTGAAGGGCTGACCCAAACGTGGCCCATTAAGAATGGTTCCTGGTTTGTTTTTGAGACTTGGAATATGATTCATGAGCATCATATGATGCTACGTAAAACAAATACCGGAACCCGATCGAAGAAGTTACAGTAAACAGTCACATAACTTGAAAGAAATAAACATATGGAACTCTAAGGTCATAAAGTCAAGTACATCCCTTTATCTCTCGCTCGAATTGAAAAAAATAGTCCTGAAGTATAAAGAGGAGATATTGCTATCAATTCATGAAGACTTGGGACAGTTTCAGGCTCTCATCAAAGTGTGATGAAGCTCAAGTAACTCTTCGACCTCCTTCATGTCAACCCCCATGGTTCACCAATGTGTGATCACCATTACCGTTACTGCTCACTAGGATTTCTCCATTTTGTGAGGGCACGACAGGAGCCTGTGAACTTACACTTTGCTGAGGATTTGCTTCTTCATGTGGACCAGTGGTCGCGGCCTGTCCTTGTGTGGGCCTTGTCTTGGGCCTGCGTAGTATAAGTAAAAGGATAATCAAGCCCGGTAGTAGAATGAGGCCCAAGATCAGTCCAACAGGAAGCCCAATGAGCAAGCCCAGATTCTTCTTCTTCTTCTTCTTCTCCTCCTCTGTTGCTTCGGCCGGTAAAGCCGGTAAGGCCGTGTAAATCTCGATGCCACTGATGAATGGCGACAATGCCGAGTTACCATTCGGTCGCAACTGGACATTCAAAGTGCCATTCGAGCGTACATACGCCTGTGTGCTATTACAGTTGTAGTACCCTATAGTAATGGTGGATATGTAGTCATCATTGATGTAAAAACTGAATGTCCTTGTCTCGGATTCGTCGATATTACTGGAGAAATAGGCCCTCACATAGTGTTGGAGATCGTGGATCCCGTTAAATGCGAAGGGCAAGTCGATCGTGTCTGTTGGGTTCGGCGCTTCAACTGCTTGGCGAAGAACGGAGTAGGGCAGTCTCTCATCCCCGCAGGAAGTAAAGGAAGGGAGGGTCACCGCTTTCAATCCGGCTGGAGTATTTGGTTCCCATATTCTGTCATCCTTATCGTCAGGATACCTATTGGAAAAGAAGAATACCCATAAAAATGACTAAGAATTATGTAGCAATTACTTATAGATTTGTCGGATTCATGATGAAGATAATGGCATCTCACCCAAGAATCCATTTATTTTCATCTGCGCCATAACTGTAGCGGTAACTTGTGAGCCAAGTAGTGTTTTCCTCGTCTACAAAATCGTGGGGAAAGGACAACAGATTCGTCAGCGACCGCAACTCCAAGGCATTGATGAAGGGGAACTGCTTGTGCTTTGTCTGGACCAAGCAAACGCTGATGTTCTCCTTTTTGGAATAGTAGAGCAGTTCGTAGAACTGCGGTTTGGTGTTGGAGGTCACGATGGTAGCCCATTTCATCCCCTCCACCTCCAACTCGAAAGTAGGTGGGTGCGAGTGGCCATCATAATTTCCGTAGTAAAAGGACGCTCTGATCAAATATGTAAATTCTGAAAGAGAAGAAGCCTCTGCGGGCAGTGCGTAGCAATTCCTCTTATGCTTTGGGAAGATTCGAAGCGTTTTGAGTTGGGTCGAATTGGGGGAGCTGTCAAGTTGGACGGCTTTGTTCTCACCTGTTTCGGTGTATCCCTCATCATCATCCCAATCATCGTAGCTAATTTGTGATCCGCAATCTATGTATACATCTGTCGCCACGGTCGGTCACAAAATCAGAGACAAAAGGCAACATTCGAGAAGATGCTACAGAAGCCGAATGGGATATGCATTTCCCTTGCATCAGGTATCTAGAAAATGCTCAAGACATCTTTCACAGATTACCAAATGACTCAAACAGAAAAGCAAAGACCTCTCCTGTTATGCATTCTCTATTTTGAAAGTTCCATTCCGCGATTATATGCTCGAAAAATCGTAAAATCGCTTGTGACCATTCTGTAAATGAAGCATATACGACGCTGTGCGGGATAAGAACAATGATGGATCACGGGCTGTTACCAGATTGAGAAAGAGCTTTTCCGAGGATGATCAGAACAACCGTCCACAACAAGAACAGTAACCCCATTGAGAAAGAAGTCTCTGCAAATCTGTATGGCCTATCCTAGCTTAAATAAGAGGAAGCAACCTTCAATAAATAATAATTGTAACTGGGCCTCGCAATCTTTGGTGATTACAATAAATTGTAGCTGTTTAAGTTTGTCTCTTCCAAGCTTAAGAACTCCCTTTCGATTCCTTATTGTCTTATTTTATTCGGCCATTCAGTGCAGAGCGAGCCCTCGAGTGTGCCAATCTCGATGAAATCCAACTTCATAACAAGAAAAAAGGAATTTCCCTTTGAAAAACAGTTTATGGTACAACTTTTTATTAACTAAACCACGTCCTAGCAATGGAATATAACGTTAATCCATATTCGGCAGGGAAAATTTCTATTTCCTCCTGGAGGATCACGCAATATATACGTGCCAACTATATAGGAGATGTGCACATACGCATGTGTTTAAGACAACGATTTCTTGCCCCAGGATAAATCGTCTGCACTTGCTCAGTAACTGTAGCGGTAGCTTATGAGCCAAGTAACAATCCTTGAATCATGCCACCGCTATCGGAACCTACCGATCACAATTCTAAGGCATTGATGGAGGAAGGGGAACTCTTTTTTCTTTGTTTGAGCCATGTAAATGCTGATGATATTGGCATGATAGAGCAGTACGTAGAATTGCGGTTCTGTATTGGAAGTCTCAACGGTGGCCCCTTTTCTTGCCCTCAAATTCCAAGTCGAAATTTGGCTTTTTCGAGAGACCACGGCACTTGCCATGGTAGAAGGACGCTCTAACCAACTGTATTGTCGTTCATATCAAGAGATCCAATGACTATGTCAAGGGCAGAGCAACTCTTTTTATGCTTTGTGAAGATATGGAGCATGTTCGGTTGCATGGAATTGGGAGAGTGGTGTTTCACCGAAAAGCGAAAATCTTAAAATAAGGATGAAATTGTTGAATTTTAGGAAATTCTTTTTATTGATTTTGAACATCATAGTACATGCCTGAAAAGAAAATGAAATGAAAATGCAGGCACTATAAATCAAAAGTTGCAAGAAAGATAAATGGTACGTGAAATTTAAAGTACTGAAAAGGTACATTTGCAGGAAACTTAAAAATTATAGGAAATTTTGCATATTCTACCATAAAGTCTTAAACCTATTGTGCGGCGACCAATTTAGTCATAAACCTTTCAATTATTTCAATTTAGTCCTAAACCTATTATACGACTGTCAATTTAATCTTAAACCTTTTAATGATTCGCTAATGTAATCCTTTTGGATAATTTACGCGATGTAAGGCGGCTTGCATTCATCTCCTTCATCATCTATGTATTCTGCACAATTCTGCCAATCCCAATCCATTTTATTCTAGTTAATTAAGATAACCTACGCGATTAGAATCAAGTGGCAGGGCTAATATATCCAAAGTCTTCTTCAAGTTCTTTTTTAAGTCAGGACAATATTGGAAGGAGCATATACCTTAATTCACAGTTCACACGTTCAAGCTGGCACAACCGAGAAATTAAGAGGAAATAGGCATCTACTCGTACGGCAGCCAAATTGCTTCTCTTGTCGACGTTTTCATCCTACAAGACAGATGCTTCAGATTATCTCGTTCTTTTGATGTCATTGCCGGTGCTGTATTCATTTATTGAAGACTTTTACGGCACTCCTATTGATCGCTTTTAACAAGGACAAGAACACCACAAGAGTCACAACTTTTGTACGGTGCTCGCTTATGTGTCATGACTGTTTTTTCGACGACTTCAGTGTCATGACTTTTAAAAAACGTTCATTTAAGTGTCATACTTTCAATCGATCACTTAACCATCATAACTTTTTAAAAACGCTCACCCCAATTGCCAAAAATTCGATGACATGGCGTAGCACTTGTAAAGAACGTTTTTTAAAAGTTATAACATTCAAATGATCGAGTTTTTTTTTTTACACCCTCAAGTAAGTATTGTACATAAGTTATGGCACTCATATGATAAAAAATAAAGTTATATTACTCAAGTGAGCGCTGTACGAAAGTCATGACACTTGTGATGTTCTTTTCCCCTTTTAACCAAATGGATAATTATCCAATCAGTCATAAACCTATTATACAAATATTAATATAGACCTAGATAAATTTAGTCCTAAATATTAGCGCAATATTCCAATGTAGTCCTTCTAATCAATTTTCGCCATAAATTGCGACGATTCAGTCATTGCCATCCGTCTTACGTGGCATTCCACCACGTTAGCAATTTCAGACAAAAGTTGGCTAGAAGGATTACATTAAAATATCGCGCAAATATTTAAGACTCAATTGACAAAATTGAAAAGTTTAGGACTGAATTGACATTTGTATAATAGATTTAGGACTAATTGGATAATTTCCCTTTAAACATGTGATATAATGATTTTGAACATGTGATATTTAAATGCCCGAACAACCCCTCTACATAGTGTTGGATTTGGCCTAAACTGATACGTGAAGAAGTACTATAGACACAAATAAAGGGCCTGAAGGAATTATAACACACTCCTGCCATGATACTATTGCAACTTTGGAAGACTTAAAACATAGTGCTGCTCCAATTTTTAGGACGTACATGGTGTTAATTTTCCTTTTGTTTTAGGGATAATGACACATTTGGACCCTGAATTTTGGCCAAATATGCAATGTTGTCATTGAATTTTTAATTTGTTCGTTGTGGTCCCTAAACTTTTAGTTTGTTCAATATGATCCCTAGACATTTGGTATATGTTCAATTTGGTGCGACGTCCTCCTTCATTAATGATATGATTTCTCTAAAGCGTTGCCGGTGATATTGCTTGATTGTATGTCCAGTTGTTGATTATTGTTTGTCATTGGTAGGAGTGGAAGCTGATGTATGTATGCTATTTGTATATAAACTGTTCGGAATGGCCTCTATTCTTTTCATTTCGCACTTGTATCTTGCAGGGCTCGTAGTGAGGATAATTTCTCCCACATTGTGGTTTTGCGCAGTCAAATGATAACTCACTCATTAAACAAGAAAATAAAAAGACGAATTTGATTCAATTTTGATATTCTGACTTTTGGGTTTTCATTTGACATCCTAACTTGAGCATCATCTGCTACATAATCCCTCTTGGATTATAACATTTCTGTTAGGGATAATGACACCAATAGTCCATGAACTTTAACCCAATGTGCAATGTGGTCTCTGAACTTTTAATTTGTTCAATGAAATTCATAAACTTTAGCCTAATGTTTAATAAGGTCCCTAAACTTTTAATTTGTTCAACGTGATCTCTTAAGTTTTGGTACATGTTCAATTTAGTCCCCGAACTTTTAGTACATGTTTAATTTAGTCATTCCATTAATTCAAGTTCGGGGACTACTTTGAATATTTTTATATAATTCAAAGACTAAATTGAACATATACAAAAAGTTCAGAAAATACATTAAACAAATTAAAAGTTTATGAATCACATTACACGTTGGGCTAAAGTTCAATGACTGTTTGTGTTATTTTCCCTTTCTCTTGTTAGAAAACATATCGCTAGTCAAAGCTTCCAAGCATTGGCTTTCTTGATCAAGTTTGAATTCACTTTCTTGGTTTTTGGTTTTCCTTCTTTTCTTCTTCCAAATCGTGTACAGATGCATCAATGGTGACCACAGTCAGTCCCCAAAAAACTAAAAAGCATCTCTCACTAATGTGATTACGGTATTGCATCATATACTGTGGCTACGCGTGAGCTTCAACAACCTCCTCCTCAACGTAGCGAGTTCTTCTCCACCAAAAACGGCGCCGAGGTGGGGCTTCTTCTATAACACCGTTGTTTGGTCCACCGCCGTTTGGTCTACCGTCGTTCCTCGATTTAGAGCACAAATAGTACCCACAGCCAATCAAAATGAGAAAGAGCACGCCGCCGCCGCCGCCGCCGACTTCCTTCCACTTACTTGTCTTAGGATAATGTACGGCTTGGCCCGTGTACACTTCAATGGCGCTGATCAAAGGAGGCAGCGTCGAATTCCCGCTTGCGCGCAGCTGAACATTTAGAGTACCGTTCGACTGCACGAATGCCCACACCGACGTGCAGTACTCGTACCTCGGGTTCATGGTCGAGACGAACTTGTTGTTCGCGTTGAATTCGAACGACCTGCTTTCGTTCTCGTTTAGTGAATGGGTCTCGGTGAAATACGCGGTCACGTAGTGAACTAGATTGATCCCGTCGTTGATGCTGAAGCTTAAGCTGATTGGGTACGTTAAATTTGGCGCCTCGACCATTTGGGACATGACAACGTTGGGCACGTTGTTATCGCCGTTGTCGTAGAAGTAAGTTGCGGAGGCTTTCGTCTGATTCAGGTCGGATGGAGTTGTTGGCACCCATATTCTGTTGGCCGAATCAGTAGGGTACCTGCACGACGGTCCACGGAGAAGTTACATTGCTACATCACATAAGAGAGACAGAGTGAAACGTAAGGAAAAATTCCAAGGTTTTCGCGGTTTTACTGGTATGTTCGGCGTATGAAGTATGCAGAAACTTGCATGGATCATACGCTCCACCAGATAGCCTAAAATGAAACAGAAACATGGGTCTTGTTCTCTCCGTTAGTGACGCTGCTGATCTTGAAATTCCCCTCGTAACCATTTACTATATTAAGCTCTAAAACCGTGAAGAGACAAACCTCGTATGCAACGTTTATCTTTGCTGTCCCCAGCTAGGTTATATGATTGTCTTATTTTGAAAGGATGGGTTCTTCGCCAAGCAAAAGATGGGTTCTTCTGATCTCATATCCACAAGGTTCAACAATCAACATATTTCATAACAACATACGGGGCTTTCATGTTTCGTCATCCGTATCAATTAGTTTCTTAACTGAACACCAAATTTGAAAAAGGCAATCAAAGAGAATCATTAATGTAAGGAAGATTGCTAGGTTTAGTTTCTTACCCTAAAATCCAATCATCGACAGTGTCCGCCACTGCACCATAGTCGTAGCGGTAATTGCTGAGCCAAGCCATGTCTCGGGTCATACCATCGTACATATTATCATCTAATGGCCACAATTCCAGCGCATTGATGAATGGGAACTGAGCATCCGATGTTCGAATCAAGCACACCTTAATGTCGTCCGCACCCGATGTGTAAATCAATTCATAAATTTGCGGATCTGTATTTGAGGTGACAACAGTTTTCCTATTATTCTCGTCAAACTCCAAGTCAAAAGTTGGTGGTTTCGAAAGGCCGTCGTAGTTGCCGTAATAAAATGTCGCTCTGCTCATGTATCGGACCGACGGTTGCGCAGGCAATTTGTAGCAAACTTTTTTCTCTTTTGTGAAGACTCGAAGAGTGTTGAGTTGGGTCCACTTGGAGAAACTACCGGCTGAGATCGGCATGTCGTTGCCGACCTTGACAAATTCATCGTCGGTGCTCCAGTAGCTGCCATCTTTGGCCTCATACCCAGTTTGAGACCCACAATCAATTCTCAACAGTGATGCTGCTTTTGTTTGTTTTTAACATATGCAAAGATAGACATGGAATGAGAAATCATCAGATGCAGGATTGAATTCAAGCTTTGAAAAGGAAAAAAACCTGGTGATGAGTGCAGTATTACCTTGAGAAAGAGATACTTCAATGAAGAGAAGCATCAACAAGAACATCTGGACTGCCATTTTCACTTCCCTCTCTGTGTTCTGTTCAATGAGATCAAGTCTCACAACTTGCATTTTCATTTTATAGGCTATTCATTCCAACCCCTACCACGGCACGCACGACATCGATGTAAGGCAGCTTGCGTTCGTCTCTTTCATCATCGACATATTCCACGCAATTCGGCCGGTACCAATCCATTTTATTCTGATTAGTTTAGGTCATTTACGCCACAAGACTCGAGTGCGAGGCCCAATTTAATATCGCAAGTCTTCTCCGGGTCTTCCTAAGTCAGGACAATTTTGGAAGGAGAACATACTTTAATTCACAGTTCACACGTTTAAGGTGGCACAACCAAGAAATTTAAGAGGAAATAGGAATCAGCGTCGCATGGCAGCCAAATTACTCGTCATGTCAACGTTTTCAACCTAAAAGACTTGCCTGACCCACAAGAACTAGGATGTTAAATTTCTCTTCTTTTGTATCACTAGTAGGTAGTAGCATTCAACTATGAAGATGCTTCAGATGTAATCATTCTTTTGATGCCATAGCCAATGCTGCATTTCTTTATTGAAGAATTTTACCGCACTCAAGAACTCTCCCTATTTCTTAGATTCATGGACCCAATTCAATTAAGTGGGATCTTTCATTCGCATTTTTTTTCCCATCAAGAACGTTTTATAAAATTCTTGGACTCTAGAATCTGGAGTATCCTACTTTCACACAATTCACGGGAAAGACCAAAATTAAGACGTAAATGCCCCGACACTATCTCTCTTCATAGACTTGGATTTGGCTTGAAAATGAAACGTGAAGATTAATTGTACTAGAGAAACAAATAAAGGGCCTGAAGGAACTATGACACAAGACTTCGTGCTATTTTTTGGAAGACTAAAAATATAGTGATTCTAAAATATTTAGGATATATATGGTATAAACTTTAATTTTAGGGATGTATACCAGAAGTCTTAAAATTTATCGTGAAAGTGTAGTTGAGTTTTTAAAACTTTTAAAAAGTGCAATCAATTCTTTAAACTTGTAAAATTAGCGTAATAAAGTTCATCCTTTAATTACATTTAATTTGGAAAGATTTGAACTAACTGTCTATTTTTATCTTTTCCAATCTCTAGAAATCCCTTTCCAACTCTCATTTTTCTTTCGCAACTGATAGATGAAGGGAAACCACATATATATAAAGAGCACATAAACTTTATCGTCAAGCGACGTGAGATATTTCAACAATTTGAATGGCATGGCATTAGTGATCGAATATAAGTTGACACAACTTCGAAGAAGCATATCCAAGGCTGCTGGCCAAATGGCTATAACTGATAATTTTTTGTTGACAAAACCACCTATACCAATACCATAGCATTAAGTAGCAGCCATAATACTCTGTCCGAGTGCAGTATCGATATTAAAAACACGAAGCATATTCAAGTAACTATCCAGCGCATGTAAACCGGTCTATGTATCTCTAGCATTGTTATTGAAATTGGCGAAGAAGAAGGAGAGAAGAGAGCGGCGTTAGAGAGAGAGAATACAGTGTGTCACTAGGTTTGACACACTTCTTCTATTTAAAATAGATAATCGTTTACATTAGATGGGCCAAGCCCTAAACACCAATAAATAACCATAAAATAATAAATAAAATAAAAAGAAAGAGAGAAGGGGGAAAGCCCATGTGACTTAACACTCCCCCTCAAGCTGGAGCATAGATGTTCATCATGTCCAGCTTGTTACAAATGAACTCTATCCTCTTTCCAGTACTCGATTTTGTAAGGATGTCAGCAAGTTGATCACTGGTCCGAACATATCCAAATTCGATGACATTCCTGAGCAAAGCATTTCTGACAAAATGACAATCAACTTCAATGTGTTTAATCCTCTCATGAAAAACTGGATTATCCCTAATATGTAGGGCAGACTGATTATCACACCATAATTTAGAAGGATAATCAACGGAATAACCTATCTCCGTCAAAAGCTGTTGCGGCCACATAATCTCAGTAGTTGTACTTGCCATTGAGCGATACTCTGCTTCGCAACTAGGCCGAGAAACCACATCTTGCTTCTTACTCTTCCACGAGACAAGATTACCACCCATAAATATAGTAAAACCGGATGTAGATCGCCTATCAGCGGGAGATCCAGCCCAATCCGCATCACAAAATGCTTCGATGCGGGAATGTCCGTGATTTTGATAGATAACACCCTTCCCGGGATCCTTTTTTAGATACTTTACAATCCGCAGAGCAGCCTCCCAATGAGGAACACGAGGGTCAGCCATAAACTGACTAACAACACTAACCGGAAAGGCAACATCAGGTCTGGTCATAGTGAGATAATTGAGTTTTCCCACTAATCTACGATACCTCTCAGGCTCTGGAATCGGGGCACCTTCTTGCGGCATGAGTTTATCACCAGGAATCATAGGGGACTCGCAATATTTTGCCCCAGACAGCCCTGTATCTTGCAATAAATCTAACACATATTTTCTCTGAGACAGAAAAACACCATTCTTACATTTAGAAACTTCAATACCAAGGAAGTATTCTAGAGGACCGAGATCTTTGGTTTGAAACTGACTGTTTAGAAACTCCTTGAGCCTAGAAATGCCTGCTAAGTCACTGTCAGTGATCACAATGTCATCCACATATACAACCATATAAATACAACCTGCAGGAGAAGTATGATAGAAAACAGAACTATCCTTAATACTCTGCTTCATGTCAAAATCCCGTACAACAGCTGTAGTAAATCTGCCAAACCATGCACGAGGTGACTGCTTGAGACCATATAAAGAGTGACGAAGCCGACAAACCTTATGAGACTCCCCCTGAGCAACAAACCCGGGAGGTTGCTCCATATACACCTCCTCGTCAAGATGTCCATTCAAGAAAGCATTCTTGACATCAAGTTGATGGAGGATCCAATCATGGGAGGCTGCCAGAGAAATAAATAACCGAACGGAGGCCATTTTAGCCACCGGGGAAAAAGTCTCAAAATAATCAACACCATACTGTTGAGCATATCCCTTAGCAACAAGACGAGCCTTCAAGCGAGCAAGCGAGCCATCCGGATTAACCTTGACAGTATAAACCCATTTACAACCAATAGCTTGCTTACCCGTGGGAAGAGGAACAAGCTCCCAGGTCTCATTCTGAACCAAGGCCTGCATCTCATCCACCATAGCAGCACGCCAACCAGAATGAGCCAAGGCATCAGAAACTGATCGTGGAACAGAGATGGAATCCAAAGTGGCAATCAACGCCTGTGTCTGAACTGATAAACCCTTATAAGAGTCAGTATAAACAGGTCTATCACGGCAAGCACGAATACCTTTACGGAGAGCAATAGGCTCATCATCTGAGGGGAGATCCGGTATCAATGGAGAGGTATCCAGCGGAGGTGGCGTTGGCGAAGATGCATCCGGAGGAGGATCCAATGAGTCATCAGAAGGCACATTGGATGGGGTAGAAGAAATCACAGGAGTCGGCCGCTGATGATACATACGACCATACCACACGTCAGTGGATTGAGCTGTGGGGGTGGATGATATCTCAGAAGTAGGACTAGATTGAGCTGTGGGTGTGGATGATGTCTCAGAAGAAGGACTCGATCGAGAACGATTGACCAGAACATCCTCCAAGAAAGTAGATGGAGAATCATCCTTGGTGCCATAAGATTGAGACTCATGGAAGGTAACATCTGCAGAGACAACGTAGCGACCTAGATCAGGAGAAAAACAACGGTATCCTTTCTGATGCCGAGCATAGCCCAGAAAAATACAACGAAGAGACTTAGGGTCGAGTTTAGAGACCTGAGGTCGCGTATCACGAACGAAACACACACACCCGAACATCTTTGGAAAGAGAGGAAACAGAGATTTAGTAGGGAACAACACACGAAAAGGGATTTCTCCATTGAGAATAACAGAAGGAAGACGATTGATAAGATAACAAGCGGTCAAAACTGCATCGGCCCAGAATGACTTAGGGACATTGTGCTGGAACAAGAGAGCACGAGCAACCTCTAACAGATGCCTATTCTTGCGTTCTGCTACACCGTTTTGTTGAGGTGTATCAGGGCAAGAAGTTTGATGGACAACACCATTACGGGAAAGAAATGACATGAATTGATGTGATAAATATTCCCGACCATTATCATCACAAACACTTAACGAAGTGGAGAATTGAGTTCGAACTTCAGCATAAAATTCACAAAAAATTTGGAACACCTCAGAACGATTTTTCATTAAATAGACCCATGTCATCCGTGAATGGTCATCAACAAAAGTTACATAATATTTGAAGCCAAGCTTTGACACGACAGGACAAGGACCCCATACGTCTGAATGGACTAACTCAAACGGAGCTGAGACTCTTTTATTGACTCTAGGAAAATAAGACACACGATGGTGCTTAGCAAACTGATATGACTCACATTCAAAGGAAACGTTTTTAAACTGAGGATATAACTTTTGGAGGGTGGTAGGAGCTAGATGGCCAAGACGACAGTGAATCTCATATGGACTAGGGGATGTGGTGGAGTAGGCTACTGACGGTGGTGTGGCTTCAATATCATAGACTCCTCCTTCGACCCTTCCTCTACCAATGGCCTTCCTCGTCAAAAGATCCTGAAAAACACAACCATCAGGGAAAAATGAGACTGAACAATTCAATTGTTTTGTGATCTGACTAACCGATAGTAGATTAAAAGGTGACTTCGGAACATAAAGCACAGAAGACAATCTTTAAATCTGATGTAAGACTAGAAGTCCCACTCCCTTTTACAATTGCTAAAGAGCCATCCGCCACAGTAATAGCACTAACATGTGATGACGAGGAATAGGTTGTGAGATTACCTACTGTTCCTGTCAGGTGATCTGAAGCACCTGAATCAACAACCCATTTGCCACGAGACATGGAAACACATGCTGTATGATTACCTGTCTGTGCATATGTAGCAGTAGAAGCCTGCCCATCCACCTGAAACTGAGTATACCGTGCAAACTCCTCATCAGTCATCTCAATCATTCTCCTCCCGGAAACAGGAGAGGACTCCTGGATCTCAGAAGATGCAAGTGCCGAGACATTAGCCACCTTGTTACTACTCAGATAACCATACAACTTATAACAGTTGCTCATTAGATGACCGGGCATACCACAATGATGACAAACACGTTGGTCCTTACTACCACCACGGCCTCCACGGCCACCACGTCCACCACGACCTCCACGACCACCACGTGATCCACCACTCCTAGAAAAAGAGAACAGGGCGGATTTGTCACTAGATTCTGGTTGCACAGACGGAATATGAGCCCCAATGGTAACACTACTTAGCCGATTATAGACCTCAGAAATAGATATGGGAACCGTCTCGGAGAGGATCTGATTTTTTATTGGCTCAAGTCCGGGATGAAGACCTGACAAGAAACACATAACACCAAGCTGCTCCCTCTGTGCAATCATCTCATCAGGACTAGTTGGAATCGGCCACAACAAATCAAGTTCATCAAACAGGGCCTGAAACTCAGTATAAAACTCTTGAATAGGCCGCTCCTCCTGATTGAGTTGAAATAATCTCTTCAACACATCACACACACGAGATTTGTTGTTGGTGTTTGAATATAGTAGTGCCAAACGATTCCACACATCTCGAACCGTCGGACAATTAGCAATCATAACCTTAACTTTGCGATCCATGGAATTTAAAAGAAGTCCGAAGATACGGTTCTCTTCAATCTCCCAACTCAAATAATTAGAGTCGGTAGACTCAGGAGGCAAATCAGTCAAGTATTTAGCCTTACCCATACCTTTTAAACAGACAAGAATAGTCTTTCGCCAAATCTGAAAATTTAGGGCTCCTTCCAATTTTTCATCGGACAGTCTCGTTGGGAAAGAGACAACACCCTCGGTACTGCTGGAGTTCGTAGAACCATCACCCGTCTTCACCTCCTTCTGTCGATCATCTCCTGCCATTGTTGTTGCAAAAGAAAAGGGAGACACTTGCTAGGTCTCTATGCAAAGAAACCAGCACCTCTGGACCGGAACAAGGAGACCAGCCTACACCACTGGGCAGGCTGCACAAATCTGTGGCTCAGACTACACAAATCTGTGGCTCAGAAGCCATGATGTTGTATGTCCATTATGGAAGAAAAGAAAAAAAGAAAAGAAGAAGGAGAAGAAGGGGAGGGCCGATCAAAACAATGGATGAAACAAACCCTTGCTCTGATACCATGAAATTGGCGAAGAAGAAGGAGAGAAGAGAGCGGCGTTAGAGAGAGAGAATACAGTGTGTCACTAGGTTTAACACACTTCTTCTATTTAAAATAGATAATAGTTTACATTAGATGGGCCAAGCCCTAAACACCAATAAACAATCATAAAATAATAAATAAAATAAAAAGAAAGAGAGAAGGGAGAAAGCCCACGTGACTTAACAGTTATCAAAGGTATGCAAAATATGGTAGATGAGCGCATGTACCACCTTGTCCTAGGGTAGCCCTGAATTGGTCTAACCTCCTCTTTTCTGCACGCACGAAGGGCACTATTCATAGAAGAATCTGGATTTGAGATCATCTCTGGTATTTGATACAATTTAGGTTGTTGAGATCATGAATGCCATCGTTAAAACGATGAGCGACTAACATAACTTAATGGGTTGGGTTAATCTACTTGTAAATCAAAATGATTCTGGAAACTGATAGCCAGAGTCTTCCCTTGTAGTTCTAGTGTCTTCCCAAGCCAGAGAAATAGGAAACAGGAGTAGGCACCTATGTTTCTGGTTCTGGAAATTTAGCCAAGAAGGAGACCTTTCTTTTGACTCTTTTGGGTTCCTTCAATGCTGATTAGTATATCACAAGCATTCTCAAGCAAATGAACCAAAATGAAAAGAAAAGGAATAATCCGACCCTCTCATCTCTGCGATTTTTGAATTGGTGACTCGGGGTTTGCGTCCTCCGAAACTCTCTCTTCTTGAGGCATTGACTGAACATGCCCATCATCCCATCCACCCCCTTCTGTTGCAGTAACTTCTTCGCTGGGCATTGGTTTCTTTGGTCCCAAGAAATAAACAAAAGCAACCACCACCAGTATGAAGGAGAGTAACCCGATAGGCAATCCAAATGTTGACGCGGAGCTCTCTCTCTTAATTACATGGCAGTTACCATGGACGCTGCACGAGAGGTGAATGAGTCCTTACAGATAGCATTTCGCGCAAGGAAGTGTCGTGCAGGTTCAATTAGACTACTTACTCAAATTTCAATTGCTTGTTGCTAGTAATACTCTTCGGAATGTAGCCGGAGAAATCATTATTGCTGAGAATTCTAAAGAAGAGACAACAAAGACATGTTTTTCTAGGCCACATAAGAGTAGTTAAATCTAAATTCATGTAGTCGAAAATTATTCTTCGCCAAAGACTTGAACACTCACAGTAACTTGAGATGTGGCAATTTGCCAAGGAATTCGGGAATTGGTCCGTTGAGGCTATTATTTCCAAAGTCTCTGAAACAAGGAAACAGAAGCAGGTCATCATAAGCATATTGAATAACATCCCGAGGAAAAAGAAGACGCAAAATTTTAGTAATCAATTCAAGCAGATGCCTGACATAATCTCAAGTGCTTGCATTTGGCCGAAGTAAGGAAGATGACCAGAGAGACCATAACCTGTAAGATTTCTGCATTGTCATAATGCAATGGTTAGAGGTTCAATGGACGTTCGGAAGCTCATAGATGCAAAGTCATACATAATTTAAGCCATCAGAGAGCCATAAATCATTGATCTGGTTATATAATGGAAGGAATCGAACTTTGTTGATGAGTTTGTACATGGAAGTAACCCTTGGAGGGTAGTGGCCTTGGCGAGATATCCATGGCCATGTAGTGTCACTTGGAAGACATGGGTCGCCGCTCCATCCTTGCAGTTGCTCAAAGGTCTTTACAAATGCTTGTAACCCTTCCACTGCAACGATTAGACCATCACATCGTATGAGCACATAGAATACAAATAAGAAGTGTCTTAAGGCAGTAAAAGAGCATGCTTTACAGTCATCCTGGGATGTTCTTGTGGTGACCAGAGGACGGGTCGACGCATAAATTTCGATGGCACTGATTATAGGTGGTAGAGTTGTATTGATAGTTGGTAACAGTTGAATGCGGATATCTTCGTCAGACAACCCAATTGACTCGGTATCAACTTCAAAGCCTGTGAAAATCTGGTACCGTGGGGAAATTGTCGTGATGTAGGTCCCCCCTAAAATGTACAAATCAAACGCTCGAGTCTCATTTTCATTCAGAAAACGTGTCTCTAGGAAGTACAAAACTATGTATTTGAAGGTGGCGCTTCCATTCGTTTCGAAAGAGAATGTCATTGAGGATGCAGGATCCGGGGCTTCGATTGCATCAAAAATTGCCAAATCGGGAGGATACTCTGTAGTCAGTCTGTTGATGGAAGCGAAGCTGGCATGTACGGCCTTCGTGCCCTGCAGGATCATTGGTTGCCACTTCCGGTTGTACTTATCCTGAGGATACCTGATTGAGGAGACTAGACAACTAGTAAATAAATTTGCACTCACCATGACATATACTGATACATAGTTTGTCTCTATATTCTTCTCTACACGACTGCCAATAGCAGATCTAAATGAGATGATTATTGGTTTCTTACCCCATGATCGATTCAGTTGCGCCATAATTGTAGCGGTAGCTCAGAGTCCAGGCCCTATCTTGGCCCATAGTAGCATACATATCATCAGATAAGGGCCACAGTTCCAATGCTGAGATATATGGGTACTGCTTATCCAGCGTCCGAGCCAAACAGACGCTTATGAAATCACCCCCACTCGTGTATACTAATTCGTAGTGTTGGGGTTCTGCAGTTGAGTTCGACACAGTGGTCCACTTGTTGCCATCGAACTCGAGACCAAAACTTGGAGGCCTTGAAAGGCCATCATAGTTCCCATAACAGAACACTGCCCTGATGAAGTACCTCTTCTGCGCAACCGCCGGTAAAGAGTAACAGTTCTTGTTTTGTTCCGGGAAGTACCTGAGCGTACTTATTTGCCGTTCTGCGCTGAGATTCCCATTAGAGAGCCGCACGTTTTGACCAGTTTTAACGAAATCTGAATCTGTGTCCCAAAGAATTCCATCTCCAGTATCGTAGCTTGTTTCTGACCCGCAATCTATCCGTAACGGGGCTAATGTATCTGAGTATTGTACTTAAATATCAAGAGAAGTTCAAAAGGATTTACTGAAAATCCCTCATGATTTCAAGAAGTGGTATAAAGTTTATACTATAAATTCATTTCTATCTCTGATATGGTAAACAGAGTTGGTTGGAGTAGTGCAGCGAACGTAGCAGGGTCCAGTGTAGTTTTATTTGTTATTACGGTGAGTTTTGGGAAAAAAATTTCTCTTTCCTAAATGCATTCATTCCAACATTAAGGCGAGATTAGCCCTCTAAGAACACAGATATGTTGAAAGTCAACCATGAATGAAAACTAAAATACCTTGAGACAAAACTTTCAGAGCGAAGAAAAACAGGAAGAACAGCACTCCAATCTCCATTTAAGCTGCTCTTGTTCTAGTCCATCAAATCATTTTTGTTCTGAAGCAGGCTTTTATAGAGTAATAGACAGCTAAAAGAAAACAAAAAATCGGCCCATCCGAAGTCACCCTGGCAGATGCTTTAGTTTAGTTGATTACAAAGAAAATTTATGGCTCTCTTTTACCAGTACGGTCACCTGGTACATTTCCTCCTCAACTTTTTCTGTTTCGACACTCCCAAATCTTAAACAATGATTGCCTCGTTTGCCTACGCATTGCTCCTGAACCTGGGCTTCGTTTGAGACTGTGTCTCATGCATAGCACAGCTGTGAATGATTAGGAAACAAAGTGAGACGACAACATTGTTCGAGACGTGTGTACCAGATGAAACACACAATTATTCTGTTTCAAGCTTTTGGATTTTTCAGTACGGTCAAGCTGTACAAGTCCCAATCTTTTGAGATCAACTTCAAAGGGACACGCCAAAATGCAACCTGTATGCAAGATTTGGGATAAATACTCATTTCATAATGCTAGAAAATATACTCCTCAGTTTACTTCTAGCATAGTTTACTTCTAGCATTGGCCTTCTCTCCCGATCTGTCTATTGTTTTTTCTTCAATGTCATGCTTCTTTTTTCAGAAAGAATATGTAAGAAGATGCAACTCTGCGCCAAGTGAAAAATAAATAGCTCGAATTACATTGTCATGTCCATCAAGGGAACAAAAGCAAACATCTTCAATTGAATTTTTTTCAGGAAAAGGCTGTTCAATAAAAGGGGTCCATTTCTATGATCAACTGTATGAATGATCAAATCATGCCAGGATTATTTTGGCACATTTATGGGCATGAGTAATAATAAATAAGCAGTCATTGCGTAGAAGCAGTTCTCTTCTAAATGCAAGATCCATTAAAAGCCACTGATGCTGAACCCAGAGAGTTATGCCACAGCAAGTATGTACACTGAAATAGACAACTTTACATCTCAAGAAAAGAGGATGCCTCCGGGATCCCACTAAGCTGAACACTTGCATTTAGTAAATATTTATGTTGACAGCCAAAACTTTTTGGAGCGAATCGGGAGCAAAAACTCTCACAGCCTCCATCACATGTACAGTGTGATATTTCCGAAGGAAAGAGACATTCTATCCTCCCGAGCAGAGAAGATCTCGGGCTTTTTTTCTGCCTGATTAATTTATTTATATCGCGTACATCTTCTTGTATTCGTTGTTGAGGATCTCCGAATCCGACATCACTGAAACCGACCAAGACCTTGACCTACTTCCCAACGAAGACTTCCTTATGTTCCTCATGTTGGAGGCCTCGATACGATGCATAATGACCCAATAAATCATCGTGCCGAGAGTAGTGGCCATAATGGTTGTCCCTATGATGGTCACCCCTATTGCCAGCCACCTTTCTTTCTGACCAACCACCACAAATGAGAGTGCCAAGAATGCCACCGAGACCAGCACGCAGGCCAGCCACATCAACTTGTTAATGATCGCCATCATCTGCTTCTTGGCCTTGCTCTCGATGACCACGACCGACGTTTGGACCACCACCACAGCCAGGGATATGAAGAGAGCAACCGAGTCAAAAATAAAGAAAATTACGAATGGAACTTGCGGAGCAATATTCGCTTCCCCAAGAGATAGACCCGGGGGAATATCAGTAGGGTCATCCACGTATTGGCCTGGGACAGTGAAGATGGCTGCAAAAGCGACAGTGGCGATGAGGACAGCCACCACGGTGGTGGAGTTGATGGCATTATTGAGGCCTTCAGCATGCATTTTGTTGAGGCGCTTGGCGATGCCCTGGACACGTTTTCTGGTTTGGCGGGTGTGCTCGAGCTGGTAGTGGACTTCGTGTTTTATGTCACTCACGGTTTGTTTGAGCTCGCGAGCAGCACTGGTTGCCTGTGGCTGGATGGCCTTGGCACTCTGCACGCCGTGCTCCTGGAGAATAGCCGCAACATTGGAGTGACCCATTTTTTCTGCTGTATCAAGAGCGGTCTCGCCAGACCGGTTAACGGCTCTTGTATCAGTTTCACTGCAACCAAGCAGCAACCGAACTATCTGCAGAGTGTTATAAGATTTAGGCTATTAGGATGGTTGTCTTTCTATCTGTACAGACATGGAAAGTATACTATCTGGCAGTTAAAGATGGAGATACACATAAATGTGCCAGCGATAATTTAACAATTGAAGAATTGGTCAAAACGCTAGTCCAACAACTTCATTCCACGAGTTGAATGGTGCTATGTTCTTTTATTTTATCACCATGAAAGGCAGGCTCGCCTTTTTCGTCTTTTGATAATAATTACAGATACTTGTCCAAAAGCAATCCAGTGTGATAAATAAAACATCTGCCAAACTAAGAGAAAAAGACGGGTTCATTTTCCTTATCCAGCTTTGATTTACTCCCGAGACAATCGACCTGTTTGGTTATTAAATCAGCCAATAATTTAGAAGATTTTATCAGGTGGTTTTTGCAGAAGTCAATGAGCAGTTCTACCCCAAACCAACCCACATAAGTATCATCAATCATGAATAAATGAAATTAAAGTGCTTTTAGTAAAATATAGCAATAGGGGGCCTTTAGTCCCTCAATGAAAAAAAGAAGTAACTGGCTAACTTGTCACCAGTGTTGGCAGATAGCATTTCCATTGTCATTAACAAAAGGAGCGCCAAAGTTGGCTCTTTGGATCAAGAGAAGGCTTCACAGTGTATTTTCAAGTCATTCCAAATAATAGATGAACCGCGTAATCTGGTCTAGCCCGACATGTATTTCTGAAATGACTGGATGACATCTTCCAAAATCCATGTATGTTCTTACTATTTGTAAGTTTCATTATTTTCTGTATCAAGACTTCAAGAGCAAACCGGATCATAAGTGCAGGCGCTCAAAAAAATTGTAGTCGTGTTGTTAGAGATCAGATAATCCATACTACTTTAGCTCACCATGCCTTCTTACTTTAAAGTTGAAAGATACTTTGTCACAACCAGTCGTGATGTTTGGATCAGCATAACATAGCAGAAGCGGTAAAAAATTTACCTGATCTCTGCCCTTCCGGGTCGCTATGTGCAATGAGGTGTTGCCCTTAGTATCTACCATGTTGATTGAGGATGGATCTGCTCTTATCAACTCTTCCACTACTTCGACGTTCTGACCCTTAACAGCCATGTGCAATGCCGTCTGGCCCTTTTTATCTACACGAGTCACAATACTAGGCTCTTTATCAAGAAGTGACTTTATCACCTCCAAATGCCCATTTCTCGCGGCTGAATGCAACGCTGTTTTCCCGTTACTTCTCGCTATTGTTGCCAACCCACTTCCGGCCTCCAACAACACATTCACCACATCGATATGGCCTTGCGTCGCAGCCGTGTGAAGTGCCGTCGTATTCGACGCGTCCACCGTCATTGCCAATTCCGGATGCACCTCCAAGAGTATCTTTAGTATTTCTGTGAGAGGGTAAAAATCAATCAATTCCAATATGCCTTACAATGACAAACCAAATACCGCAGATAGCTAAAAGATCATTTACACAGCAGAAACATACCCAAATCCCCTTGTTTGGCAGCAATGTGTAGCGCATCAAAGCCATTTCTTGCCTTGATCCCTGCATCGGATAGATCATAGTGCTTGATCATCTCCCTCACAACATCAACATAGCCATATTCGGCAGCAACGTAAAGGGCAGTTTCGCCAGCTTGATTTTGCTTCTCCAGCAATTCCTTCAACTCTGTCTCTGCCTCACCGGCTTTAGAAATGATTTCCATTATCACAGCCAGATTACCCGCTCTCGCCGCGGAATGCAGGGGCGTATCGTCTCGCTTCCCCGTCAATTGCTTGGTCATCTTCTTCCTCGGCTGGCTTGGCTGCCCAGCTGGTGACTCCATGCCTATTTAATTGTACAAAATCCCTGTCCTCGGTCGGTTCTGCTCAGCAATATGGATTTCCCTCTCCTTTCATCAAACACGACGACAATCACGCTTTCAACCCGCAAAGCAGGGTAATCCGCATCCGGCAGTCCCAGCTCAGAATGGGTAACGAGAACTTCTAAGGAACCCTGTGATGAGACGGAAACCTTCTCTTTTTTCTCATTCCTTCATCTCACAACATCTGGTTCTGGCATATCTCGCATCCTGATCAACTTCCTGTTCATTCACAAAACGCCTCCAGATTAGCTTGACCGCCACAACATCCTAATCAAAGCTCTTATAGATTCATTTTTCTCCATCGAACACAGACCAATCTCGCATGAAAAGAACCATTCGCGCATATCTTAATGCTCATTAAAACAAAAAGGAGAAGCGAGACAAAGAAGAACCCAGAAACCGGGAGAGCTAAAAATACCCGCAACTTTCTTCATTCTTGATCAAGAACACGAATACAGAAAAAGAACCATGAAAAAGAAAAGGCGTTCCCTTCTTTACCTGAGTCAGACACGAGTGAGCTCTCCGTTTCTTGTTTCCCCTTGCAGCTGATGCCGAGAGAAACCCACGTGGCTCAGGGGATCATCAGCACACACACGCACCCCCCCTCCCTGCCTGCAGAGGAATTTCTCGGGAGAGGAAAGAACAGCCCCAGAAAACCTTTTCAAGCGTGTCCTTTCTATCTATTTAAAACAGGGGGAACAGGGAATAGACAACGTTCGCGTTACACATGTTCGCAACGGCTTTTGTTGTGGATCGTTTGGGGTTTACATGAATCGCACCCGCGGGCGGAACCAATAGAAGGACGAGACACTTTTTGTTGAACGCGCAGGTGATGATGATGATGACGACGACGACGATTGCTACAGAAATCTATGGCGTAAAGGGTAGGGAAATTTTAGGAACAGGGAAACGATGAAAAGAAAGACAATTTGCTGAGGTGGGTGTGGTTCATGAAAACTTAACGGAAATAACAGAACCACGCGCCCTTCGTAACCGGCGCGCGCGCGTAGGTTAACTGACGGCCCTGGTTTGCTTTGGCTTGACGCAAGAGCGAAGCATGAACGGGACGGTTGCGGAATTTTGTAAGACCTTAAATTGTCTCAGCAAATGCACAAATGTCATTCTTAACGTGCGTTGATGTAACACATAACGAAACGAAAAATCAAATCCACCTTTTCTTTCTTATCGATATGCTCGATTTTTACGCATTCATCGGATTTTTATACTCTCACGTACGAAGGTGTGAGGTTTTTTACTACAGAGATTTCGATAGGGGTTAGTTAATGCTTGCAGTCACTTTTCATCGGGTGTGTATATACATAAGTACTCAAGGCTTGTAGAATCTTTGTTAGATCCATGACGTGACGGTGAAAAGACGATCTTCGTACGGTCCGCATCGAGCGAAAACCAATCGCATAACTTACTCCAATCACATATATCGTCAATTCAATAGTAATTACCAAATTTACATAGTTCGAAAGAGGGGGCACTTTTTCTTTGTCCCCAATGCCATGGATCAACATCTACATTGTTTTGAAGTCTCGAGTGATGTCACGACAATTCCTACCCACTTAACAAAAAAACACGTTGAAATATGGTCACTCCATTCATAGGATGGTGCCCAAGAACTATTTAGGGTTAACTTTCGCCCTGTCTTATCCTAGGGCTTCCTTTTACTTTTTTTGCTGTTAACCAAAACGAGGCATTCTCGATGCATCTAGAGATGGTGTGAACGCCCGAATCGAAAGAGTTGAAATTCACGGTACGTCCCACAATCAAAGATCCAATAGGAGGGATGGTGGAGAGGGGAGGGGAGAGGGGGAGGGGAGAGGGCACTCAAGAAAGTGTCGTAATCGCAATTATTGCTTGCTTTTCAACCCACGATTTAAAGCGCAAGAAGGAGAGAGAAAAAGGCCAGAAGAAATATGATGGGCACCATTAGTGGACGCAGATGAATCCGGAGGACGGCCCAAAAAAAGCACCGCGTCGACTTTTAGTGGGTCACAGCTATGACACCACGTATGCACAAGGGCCAAAAACCAAGCCATGAGTTCAACCACCCCAAAATTCACCAACGCAAAGCAACGCCTATCGCCCTCGATCGTCCACTCAGATTGGATAATCAAAAAGCATGGTTCGATCTTACATGCTCAAAAAGGAATCGATCGCGAGGCCAAATAAAGGTAGAGAAGAGAAAATGTATCGATTAGGATATTCACTTGATGTTTCATTTTTGCGGTAAAAGTAGTGCCGATCCCCCAATGGGTCCAATGATGGCATCAATGGATCTCGACGGATTTACTTTTCTACCCTGATAAAGCATTTCTATCGACCCGTAAAATTGCCGGCTTATTTTTAAAAGGTCTAAGTATATCGAGCTTCGCATTTCGAACCCTCTCCTTTTTATAAAATGTTAGAGAGAAAAAGAATACCGAAAATATAGAAGATAATAGATATAAATAGAAAGGACATATTTCGCAAGTTGACACGGCCCCGGCGTCCACGCAAGTGGACCGCGAGCCGCTTTTTGGACAGACGCGAGGGCGCCCGCGTTGGGGTCTCCACGTCCGGACAAAAGCCCGGTCGGGCCCACTCGAATCTTTCCCCCCGGTTCGCTGACCATTTGACCGGCCTCTGGCCGGCGCGTGCTGTCCACGCGCTCGTGGGGGTGTGGGGTCCGCCCGATCCCGGCGATGCGATGATGGCTACGGCGAGAGCCAGACCGGCCGACAAGCGCTGGTTCCGCACGCGCGAGTAATGCGGTGGTGTTAATCCGCGACTGATGAGGGGGAGGAGGAGGGAGGGACTCCACTCTCTGCAAGGAGATCCAACAAAATAAACCGACCAAAAAAAGCTGACGGGGATTGCCTCTGATCGCGGGTCTGAAAAAAACCCTTTCTTTTTTTAATCGGAAATATGTTTTGCTCGCGATAATTATGGCCGCTCGAGAGAATCGATAATGGCATATTATAGCAAGTGCAAAAAAACCACTAAAAATCCAAAATCTGCACCCGTGAGATACATTTATCCACTGCTAAGATACGTCAGTGGGCACCGCTGAAGATCTGCCTACGCGGCGGCGGAAAAGCAAGCGGTGTTGACATGATCACGTCAATGTAACTTAAGTGAAATAAAAACGATGTTACTTTGACTGAGAAATCATCTGACGGAACATTTACGGAAGATAAATGGGTTAGATTGATATAAATTTTGGGGTTTTTTATGTCGAAGGAAAAGGCTTAGGGTAAATGGGTCATAGTGGTTATAGTTTGGGATTTTTGATATTACCAAAAAAAAAAGTTCAGAATAAATGTGTTACGGCGGATATATATCAGGGTTTCTTGTGGCTTTTTCCTTACCTTTTGTGACAACGGTATAAAAAAAAGAAGATTAATTTCTCATCAGACTTTGGACGCAAATATAAAATTTCAAGATTTTGCAAACGAGGGAAATATGATAAGTGAACACCTTATTACATTTCCATTAAATCAATTATGGCTTGACAAGTTTTATGATACATCATATTGACAAAAACCCTCTTATAAAATTTAAGCAAACTAGCTTTATTCACTGATTAAAATCCCCCTAAAATACATGTGGCCTTGGAATCAAATTGACGTACCAAAGCTAAGGTCGTTGGGGGACCTCACTGGTATAATTGATGGAGAATAAAGTTATGGAGAGCTAGCCGACCGAGACCATTGACTTGTGCAGATGATTTGGATGAGATATTTATATTCATGTGCCAATTTCCATGGTGCTCGGCACACCATATTTATGTCTTCATCCGGAATTATTCACAATCCTCGGACAAAAAAACTGCATGCATCGTCTAAACTAATGCTTGATCGACGACAATATTGTTGGAATAATTTCAATTATGTTTGCTAATGCGTCGGACGAATCGATTGCAGTTTAAGATCTGGATTAACTTTATTGGGACCTCGACAAAGTCATTCTTCTTGTGCTTGACACAGAGTTTGGCCATGCATTATCTACAGATTGGCCATTTATATAAAAAGAATCTTTATCTCTAGTCTCTCATAGTACTTACTTAATCAATTGAAATTAGTCCTTTAGTGGTCTGTTTTTAATTATCATTTGGGTGCTAGCTGCAGTTTAAAATAGCTAGGAACATGCAGACACATTAGGTCTGTCCCTCTTGATTTGAACAAACTTTTGGTTCACTCGAACGTGTGATTGGAGATCAATGATACCCTCGAGAACAAATGCGAGTGGGAGAAGATTACGAGGCTAAGGCAAGCAGACAGTCAGGCATGGATTAGATTAGCCTAGATTTCGTCGAGTGATGATACCATGAAGAAAGTTTTGATTATACTTCATGAGAAAAGAAGGGTGCTTCGTGTTGAAGGAAACCTTGTTTATAGGAGGAAACTAAAGCTGGGTCTACAGAACTGGCAGATCCAACTTTGGCAGGATCGCTTTCTCTGCCCAGTTGCAGTCTTTGGGATTCTCCATCGCCTTTGCATGAACGAAGGGTTCGAATCTCCTTTTGCAAAGTCCACCGAAGATGCCAGCACTTTGCCTTATTAAAGTTCACTTCGTTCTGTACTTCGTTGGGTCACATGCAGGCAATTTAACTTGACGAAAACATGTTGTGTCGGAAGCAAGACGAAGATGCTAACCTAGGTAGATAAAAGTCCGAGCTCTTATAATGCTCCACTAAAACGTGGGTTAAGCAAGGGGTAACCCGACACGAGATTTTCTTCTTCTTTTTTGCACCGCGCGTTTGATGAATGTAGACTTGCTCGTTTCTTTTCTGCTGAATCAGTTTTTTCGTGATTTTAAGAGGGCAAAAAAAGGGATTTTACGATGTTTTATGGAGGCGGGAATCTCCATCGACCACATGCTGCTCTCCATATTGTAAGGCCTCTAATGTCCCTCTCACAATAACTTCGTCTGAGTGTCAATTTACTTCTTGAGTATGGGAGTCAAAATTTGACCATTCGTTCAAGCTAAAATATATTAATAGCTTCTGCCGAACGAAGGATTAAAAAGTACCAAGAGTCCATCTGACTATCTGTACAGAATAGAGAAAAGAGAAGCACACGATAGTGCAAACGTTTCGGTCACGATCATAACCGGAAATTTTGAGTTGACATAACTTGATTGCAGCTTTTTCTGACTGACATACTATCCACGCTGGACGACTCTACCATTCCATTTTTTTATAAAGAAATTCAATGTCGGTAAATGCTTTGACAGCTGGTAAAATTCTAAAAAAATTGGTAAATATAAAAAAAAGCACTAGGAAAACTTACCGACCACTTGATTTTCCAGTAACTTTATTAGTACTCACTGTCAGTTTTATAGAATTTAATTTTTTTTATAGTTCATAAATGATCGATTTGTCTTATGTTTTACTAACTTTTATTTCTAAAAAATTGGTAAATATAAAAAAGCACTAGGAAAACTTACCGACCACTTGATTTTCCAGTAACTTTATTAGTACTCACTGTCAGTTTTATAGAATTTAATTTTTTTTATAGTTCATAAATGATCGATTTGTCTTATGTTTTACTAACTTTTATTTGTCTTTTTTATTAATTTTTTTATACTTAACTATGTTTGTTGAAATTCACCGGCGTGGAAAAGCTTTGTATTTCCGGCACGAATCAATAGAATTCATCATCCATAGCGCACGAATTTAAGAGGACAACGAAAATTCCTTAAGTGGAAGTCTTAGTTAACAAGGGGCATGGCCTGTCATTCACAAATTCGAGCTACGATCGATACTCTCCAAGAAGAAAGAGATAACTTTAACAGTTTGTTTGTTTCGTAAATAGTGAATAATTTAAAAAAGATTTTTCTAGAAACGATATCTTATATTACTTACAGAAATGAATAAATCAAAAATATTTCCGTTGTCCACAAAAT